AATTTGCTTCCTACATCTCTATCTAAGTTGCAGTTACAAAACTTTCTAATTAGTGTTTCCACAAAAGATATAACTTTATTTATAATGAACGCAATAACCTTGAAGATTCGCTATTCCACTCCGTAATGTAACTCGTTATTTACTATGAACTTAGAGTAATCGGTAATAATTTAGTCAGCACAGATCTGTTGTTATTTTCACCCTGACATTTACTCTAATAAGCCTACTCGGAGAAGGACAAAAATCTGTTATTAAATTTTAAAAGGTTTCTTTAGTTTAAACTATGTGCTTCTTTTTATTTGATAATAAAACCATAAATTGACTGTTCGCTTTTTATTTGTAAGGTACTTGATAGTTGTGAGACAATGTTTAGTTGTTTTTTGCGACACCAGGTGGAATTAATCTTTCGTTTTATTAAATAAATGCAACCTTGTGGCTCATAAATTGTATTCTTGGAAATGTTCTTCTGCTACAGTACTTAACTTTCAACGGATGCTCACTCTTTTGTGTCCGTGGTGAAATGGAACAAATGAGCAATTTTTTGTTGCATATTTTTATGTTATTATTATTAATAACTTACCGTGAACAGAGCTGGAAGACAAAAAATAAATGTTCCCATTTTTCTAGCAAGGAGTCTCCTAAGTCCCATGGCTTGAGCCGTAATTTCTGGAAGAGTAAAGAAACTTATATTAAAAGGCATCTATCGTATACACTTGTCTCCCAGTGGCACGACGGTATTTCTGCGGGCTTACAACGCTAAAAACCGGGTTTCGATACCCGTGATAGACAAAGCACAAATAGCCAATTGCGTAGCTTTGTGCTTAACAACAAACAAACGTATACAATTTCCTTGAAAAAGAAAACTGAATAGTGATTAGGTTAATACATGCTGTAGCGGTAATTTAAGTACATGCCTTTTTTTTTCTACTTTTAGTCATGTTTGTTTGTTTGGTGTTAGGCATAAAACTACACAATGGGATATCTGTGCTGTGCCCACCAGTGGTATTGAAACCCGATTTTTAGCGTTATAAGCCTTTAGACATCGTTAAACCACTGGAAGGTCTTAGCCATGAATATTTTAACTCAACTAACGGAATCGACATGCTCAATAAGAATTTAATCATTTTGACAAAGTTTAGATAAAATACTAAAATAATAGTTTTTTATTAGATTTAAAAACAATTTGACGTTAGTTGGTCTGGAGTACTTTTCAGTATTTTTCTGAAATGCATAATCGCCGTAGTGTTTGCTTGTCGTGAGTACAATAAATAAATGTTAGATATGTAATAGAGATGCATGTTTATACATAATAATGAACAAACATATTATTTTAAAGCATGGTTGGACTGAACTCCAAAATTTTACCGGGAAAGAAGCTAGAAGGGGCCCACAAGTTTGTCATAAAAAAATAACAAAACTACGTTTTGTTTTTGTTTTTAATTATGCACAAAGCTACACAAGGGCTATCTGTGCTCTGCCCACCATGGGTATCGAAACCCGGTTTCTAGCGTTGTAAGTCTGCAGACATACCGCTGTGCCACTGGGGGGGGGCGCCAAAAACAAATACAAAATTCTTTACTCTTCAGCTAGTATGGTCAGGTGGTTAGGACTCTTGACTCACAATCTGAGGGTCGTAGGTTCGAATCTCCGTCCCACCGAACATGCTCACTCTTTCAGCCGTAGGGTCGTTATATTGTGACGGCCAATCCCACCATTCGTTGGTAAAAGAATAGCCCAAAAATTGGCGGTGGGCGGTGATGACTAGCTGCCTTCCCTCTAGTCTTTCAACTAGGGACGGCTAGCGCAGATAGTCCTCGTGTAGCTTTGCGCGAAATTCTAAACAAACAAACAAACAGTTATGTGATTAAAATAACAATATAATTCAATAAGTACAACATAACATAACAAGCCCCAAATCGCCAATTTTGACTCCATAAAAATCGAAATCTGTCTGTATCACTGCTTGAGACGTGCAAGAAGCTATCGTTGTACCAAATCTCACGTAAGTTGGTTGACGTGCACAGGTATATTTCAAGAAAACCCGAAATTGTGCTTTTCTTGTTGAGAAATGGAGCAAAAGACAAATATCCCAAAATAGTTTATATCTCTATTTGTAACCTGTAAAAAAGTACCAAATTCTATGTAAATTGGCCGAAATACGACGGAGTAATTGTCAAAAAACCCTAAAATTATGCTTTTTGTGGCTTCCTGACTCCCTATAATTACTAAAACGGGCAAGTCCGCCATTTTTTGTTGTTCTTGTTGTTGTTAATAAGTGGGACCTGTAGAAAAGTATCTTTGTACCAAAATCCGTGTAAATTAGTCAAAGTATGGCCGAGTAATTGATAAAAAAAAAACAAGTTCGGGAACTGTAACTGAAAGTAATACTTATTTGTCTGAAACGTGCAGAAACGGTAGTTGGAAGCCGGAACCATTTTCTACTGAAGTGTGTAAGCACAGAACTGAAAGCTATCACACTTAACATACGATCTGTATGAACTGATACTTGTACAAACATCGTCAAAAATGTCATGCTGGTTCAGAAAAGTTGCTCTCTCAACACAAACAACTTTGATACCGGTCTTATACATGCTTAAATAAGATAGGGCGAGGTCACACATTCACCTGAGCTAACTGTGGGTTATTAGGTTAAGCTTTGAACTAACGAGTAAATATGATTTGCGGGATTTGTGGGTGTTAGCATCATTACGCGTGCGTCGAGCAAATGTTAGACATTTTTTTATCAAATGTACCAAGCCTGTGGTGAGTGTCTATATTAGAGGAGTGGGAGATGGGGTTTACGTCACGTCACTAGGTGATGAGGGTCCAGTTTCAGCCGGACTGTTCTACTCACTGAGCCCACTCCCAGAACCAGCGCTACAACCTTGGGTTAAGTCAGTGTTGAACTTGTGTGCACGTGTGTGAAGAATTCTTCGAGCATGGAGGGCGAACGAAACATCCTGTTGTATTTAAATAAGCTCCCGGAGCGAAGCCCCTGTGCGAAGGATTTACTAAATAATAACATACCCTATGGGGAAGTAATCATTGCACAAGAAACCTCATCATTTGATGGTTTTTGGTTAACTTTTATGATAATACTCGAGGCACAGCTTCGTGAAAGCGATGATTTAAGTTGCGATTCGATTGTTATAATAACAAAGAACACTGTATTCAGCGATATTCCTGATGGGAAGTATCTAAACGTGGGAAATATTGATCGATTTAACACCACAGGCCTGGCATGGCCTGATGGTAGGGGCACTCGATTCGCAATCTCCAGGTGGAGGGTTCGAATCTCCGTCACACCGAACATGCTTGCCCTTTCAGACGTAAGGGCGTTAAAAAGCAACGGTCAATCCCACTATTCGTTGGTAAAAGAATAGCCCAGGAGTTGGCGGTGGGTGGTGATGATTATTTGCCTTTCCTCTAGTCTATCGCTGCTAAATTAAGAACGGCTAGCGCAGATAGTCCTCGTGTAGCTTAAGCGCAAAATTCGAAACAAATCAAACCAATTAACACCACAGATCAATGCTACCACCTTAAGGTCTCACTTCTTGTTAGCTAACGTATTAGCGAAATTGATAAAATTACCAGTTACACATTTGTATTTCATAATTAATTTGATAATGTATGTATGTATATATAAATATATAACTTTAGATACCCAACTTCTTGTACCTGCCTCAAACGTCAGCAAGCGAAAATTTAGCACTATAGAACAATGGTGAATGAATTCTTAATGTTTGTTTGTTTGTAATTAAGCACAAAACTACACAATGGGCTATCTGTGCTCTGCCCAACACGGGTATCGAAACCCGGATTCTAGCGTTGTAAGTCCGCAGACATACCGCTGTACCACTGGGGGGCAATGAATTCTCTAAAGCAAAACCAAATTTATAAGAAAAAATAATTGCACCCAAAACAAGAATATACCGTAATTTTCCGAATATGATATACCTTTCTTTCTCTTAACATTTATCTAGAAGATAGGTTTCGTATAATATATGGTAACAAATCTTTTTTGTGTGTTACAACTTGTCTAAACCCTCCGACCCGCCCGGCATGGCCAGGTGGTTAAGGCGCTCGGCTTGCAATCTGAGGGTCGCGGGTTCGAATTCCCCAAACATGCTCTCCCTTTCAGCCGTTGGGGCGTTATTGTGTGACGGTCAGTCTCACCATTGGTAAAAGAGTAGCCCAAGAGTTGGCGGTGGGTGGTGGTGATGACTAGCTGCCCTCGTGTAGCTTTGCGCGAAATTCAATACAAACAAACTTTTCCGACACACGTTACGAACGAACATGCACACTCACTAAAAACGTTTCGTTTCGATTATATGTGTTGTTAATTCTCTCTCTGTTTCTAACACACGTTACGAACGAACATGCACACTCACTAAAAACGTTTCGTTTCGATTATATGTGTTGTTAATTCTCTCTGTTTCTAACACACGTTACGAACGATCATGCACACTCACTAAAAACGTTTCGTTTCGATTATATGTGTTGTTAATGCTCTCTGTTTCTAAGGAATAAATGAGAATTATCTCTCGTTTTCATTCATTTTTAGTATTTGTAAAAAAAAATGGAAATAAAATAACCAAGAAGCTAAGTCTTGCGAATTTTATTATTTATTTACATGCACACTCAGAAATGTTTGGAACTACAAAACTAGTTATTGCTAGTTATAGTAATAACTAGTTATTCCGTTTTATATTAAAAACTACAAATTGTTCATCGTCCTTGAATACTTCGCGTTACTTCTCTACCAGCTGTACACGAGTTTTTGAGAAGGTATATTTGCCGGCCATATTTGCAAAATAACAGGCGTTAAGGCGAACTCACTTTTAGCGATTTTAAGAACATTCTAATATTTTTGTCTTCAAATTATTATTTTGACCGCAGTATTGTAAAAGTCTAAGTGCGTATTATTTATGGTGATTAAACACATTTAACTTTTGTTCGTGAAGATTGGAGTGCGTATTGTTTTTGGGAGCGTATTATGTTCGGAAAATTACAGTAAAACAAAATAACGAAAAATTGCACCATTATAACAAAAGCTATAATTTTATAAGAAAACTATTGCAGCAATAAATTACTCCAAGTGTTTTTGCCATGAGGAAGGTATACTTGGAAAACAAATTCGGTTCATCAATGTCAGCTGGCATGTAAAATTTTCAAATAGCGACAGCAGAGATAAAGACATTTGGATACGCATAGACAGAAGTGAACATCTGACATGAATAAAATCTATAAAAGACACATTCAGGCATAAAAACACATCAAAGAGAAAAATATTTGAATAAAACCGGATCAGTTCGAGAAATATACCATTTACAAGTCAAACACGTAAAGCTGCTTCATGCAAATAGCAAGCGTTAGAAGTGATTTAGAGAAATACAGTAGTAAAAAATCACAGCTAGCGACTAGGACGAGTTAAGATGGAAGTAACACAGACTGACAGACAATGAAAATCGATATTTTTTTGCCATGTGATTTTATGAGTGCTTCACTTCCTTCGGTCGCTTTGCTTAATAAGTCAAGTATTAGCATTGCAAATAAATTATTACATCCCATACAGTGTACAAAAGGAAGCAGTAAATGTACGCATGCACAGCAAATATCGGTGGAACTATACATATAGCTATTATCAGTTTGGTTTTAGTTGTTGT